GACTGAGGAAATGCTTCCTCCTGCCTGCAGCAGACTGATCACTAGGGGAGGGGAGACTGAGGAAATGCTTCCTCCTGCCTGCAGCACACTGATCACTGGGGGAGAGGAGACTGAGGAAATGCTTCCTCCTGCCTGCAGCAGACTGATCACTGGGGGAGGGGAGACTGAGGAAATGCTTCCTCCCGCCTGCAGCAGACTGATCACTGGGGGAGGGGAGACTGAGGAAATGCTTCCTCCCGCCTGCAGCAGACTGATCACTGGGGGAGGGGGGACTGAGGAAATGCTTCCTCCTGCCTGATGACATCATCTCAGCCTAGGCAAAGCCACTCCTCCGAAGCTGAAGCAAGCAGGGGGCTGGATCTTGGGCGGAGTTATGCAAATATCACAATGGTGTCAGTCTGGAAAGGGGCGTTCCTTGGTATGAAGACTGCCCACATGTGATGCTGAGCTTCCATGATTGAAAGAACTGAACTCCAATGGATGAATAGGGCGGGGCCAGGGACAGCCAGCTTGAGAAGGAAAGTGCTAGGTGATGCTGGACGTCCTCCAGCCAGGAAAGAAAGCTGCTGCAGCTTCTAATGCACGTTGTGATATTTTGGAGTGACAGGATAGCCCCGCCCCCTTTTTTTAAATTTAAAGCTCCCTCTTTGCTCTTTAGCGTTACCTCCATGTTGTTTGCATGGGACAATGTACTGATATTCAGGTTCCTCCCCCCAGGGGACAACGGAGAGTACATTCTTCGTGATCAATGACGCGTTCGCGGGGAGGCGGCACGTGATCCGCGTCAGAGCGAAAGAGGAGTTCTTCTTCACCTGGAGCGAGTGGAGCGCAGAAGTGGTGGGCCGCCCCTGGTCAGGTACAGCAACAATTCACCTTTTATTATGTGTATAGACTATGGACATGTAATAGCCCCCCCCCGGTATCATCGAACCCTCCCCTGCACAGCCAGTGTACACCCCACGGCATCTGAGTGCCCCATGCATGTGCGGGAACCTTAATGTTATCTCCTTGGTACATGTGGCCGGACCTCCACCTATGACTTCTTCATATCACTATCGGTTGTGGGGGGGGTTGTTGTGTGAAATGAGAGCTAATGGTCCCTTCAATGTTGTATCTTCCCAGCAGATGAGGTAGAAGAGCTCCCCACAACTAAAAAAAAATTTAACATCATCAGAAGAAGATACAACGGAAGAGGAAGACCAAACAAAGGGTGAGGGAAAGAGTTCTCCTCTCCTTCCTCTATAACTCTCCTCTCCTGAAATACTCTGCTCTGCTGGAGGACTCTGCTCCTTCCTCTATAACTCTCCTCTCCTGAAATACTCTGCTCTGCTGGAGGACTCTGCTCCTTCCTCTATAACTCTCCTCTCCTGATATACTCTGCTCTGCTGGAGGACTCTGCTCCTTCCTCTATAACTCTCCTCTTCTGATACACTCTGCTTTGCTAGAGGTCTCACCTCCTTCCTCTATAACTCTCCTCTCCTGATATACTCTGCTCTGCTGGAGGACTCTGCTCCTTCCTCTATAACTCTCCTCTCCTGAAATACTCTGCTCTGCTGGAGGACTCTGCTCCTTCCTCTATAACTCTCCTCTCCTGATATACTCTGCTCTGCTGGAGGACTCTGCTCCTTCCTCTATAACTCTCCTCTCCTGAAATACTCTGCTCTGCTGGAGGACTCTGCTCCTTCCTCTATAACTCTCCTCTCCTGAAATACTCTGCTGGAGGACTCTGCTCCTTCCTCTATAACTCTCCTCTCCTGACATACTCTGCTCTGCTGGAGGACTCTGCTCCTTCCTCTATAACTCTCCTCTCCTGAAATACTCTGCTGGAGGACTCTGCTCCTTACTCTATCTAACTCATCCAACTCTTCTTATAGCACCAGAGAACCCCTCTGCCCCCATCCCCCGCTACGTTTGGCTTGTGACAAGTGCCATTTTTGTCTTCGTCCTTCTTCTTTTTCTCGGGCTACTGATGAGGTAAGAGATCCCTTGCGGGGTCCTATAGTGCTACCCTTGTGCGTGCTAGTAAGCTGTGTGTGTCTCTCCAAGCACACAGATGCAGGAGGGCGAGCTACTCCCCACCTCCTCCTTCCTTCTCCAAGCTGGAGACTGTGCTCTCCTTTGTGATCTTGTGCTAGACAGGAAGTTCAGGGAAGCTGAGCTGAGAGAGTTGGAGCTGTTCGGAAACACATTGACTGTAGTCTACTTATCCTGGCGCAACATAATATACTACTACATTGTATTCTATACTGGGACCAGTCTGTATACATTGTATTCTATACTGGGACCAGTCTGTATACATTGTATTCTATACTGGGACCAGTCTGTATACATTGTATTCTATACTGGGTCCGGTCTGTATACATTGTATTCTATACTGGGTCCGGTCTGTATACTTTGTATTCTATACTGAGTCCGGTCTGTATACATTATATTCTATACTGGGTCCGGTCTGTATACATTGTATTCTATACTGGGTCCGGTCTGTATACATTGTATTCTATACTGGGTCCGGTCTGTATACATTGTATTCTATACTGGGTCCGGTCTGTATACATTGTATTCTATACTGGGGCCGGTCTGTATGTGTTGCTGTTGTGGGCCCAGGAGCTTGCAATCTAAACCTGTTCTCTGATTTCAGAAATAAAGAGATCAAACTGCTGAAGCTGAAAGGCGGCTTGCTGAGGACTCTCTTCCAGCCATCGCGGAGGGTCCCTGCAGTGCCGCAGCCTCTGTCCGGAGAGCCGCTCCTGGTGGTGCCGTGCCCCCCGCCCGACGCAGTGACTGTCACCGTGCCTGAGCCATGTGGCGCCGACTAGATTGTGTGCACTTTTGCAAATTGAAGCAAAAGTGACCGAAGAATGCAAACTTTCATTGCGCAGAAGATAACATTTGATGGGCTTTTCCATTGTCCCATTTGATGTCTATTAGACTGTTTGTGTCGGTGCCGTGGTAGTGCGCTGATTATCAGTCTGCATCCGCCATCATCGCACTGCAGACAGGAAGTCCAGAGCAAAGCAATTTCTGACAACGGACATAAAAGTTTCAGGACTCTCAGGTGTAAATATGAAGAGAACGCGCTGCGTATGAGAGTAGAGAATAATATATTGATGGAAAGCCCACTTTTTTGCAGGAAGTGAAGGGAGCAATTGAAAACCATTCCTCCAACAGCTGCATAGCAGAGAGCTCTATCAGTCTACATGCTGGTGTACATTAACTTGAGGGCCGATCTCCGATGGTGGCCATCTGTGCCTTCTGCTGGAAGCTCTGTCTTATGAGAAAACATCCTACAACCCAGTCAGCTTGTATTGGGGAGCACTAGGGGGAAGGAGGAGGAGGACTAGAGCAAGAGGGGAAGGAGGGGGAAGAGGACTTGGACAAGGGGGAAGAGTGCTAAGATGAGGGAGGTAGAGCACTAGGGCAAAAGGGAAATCAGTATGGGAAGGGAGGACTTGGAAGAGTGGTGGAGCAATAGGGCATTAGGGTACTGAGACAAGAGGGCGAGCACTAGGGTGAAGGAGGAAGAGCACCAGGGCAAGATGGAAATCAATACAGGGAGGGAGCACTAGGAAGAGTGAGGGAGCACTAGGGTAAAAGAGAAGGAGGACTAGGACAAGGGGGCGAGCACTAGAGTGAATGAGGGAGAGCACTAAGACAAGAGTGGAAGCATTGGGGAGGAGCACTAGGAAGAGAGATGGAGCACTAGGGTAAAAGAGAAGGAGGACTAGAACAAGAGGGCGAGCACTAGGGTGAAGGAGATGGAGGACTATAGTGAATGAGAGAGATCATTAGTGCAAGAGACAACTAGGGAAAGAGGTGGAGCACTAGGGTAAGGTAGAAGGTCACTAGGGCAAGGGGTGAAGCACTAAGGCAAGGGAGGAAGATTACTAGGGTGAAGGAAGAGGAACACAAGGACCAGGGTGGGTCGGACATTAAGGTGAAGGACAACTAGGGCAAGAGGGGAAGTGCTAGGGTGAGGGAGGAGGAGCACATGGGTAAAAGAGGAGCAATAGGGTGAAGGAGCAGCAGATCACAGGAGTGGGGGCACTAGGATGATATAAGGGAGAACTAGGGGGGGGGAAAGAAGAAATACTGGGGAGAGGGAGACGGAACACTACTGCAAAGGAGGAAAGGCACTATGGCGAAGGAAGGGGAGCACTAGGGAGAATCATTGGGGTGAGAAAGGTGGAGTGTTGGGGCAAATGAGTTGGAGTGCTTAGGTGAAGGAGGAGAAGCACTAGGACCTTGGAGAAGCACTAGGAAAAAGGAGGAGAAGGAGCAACAAGTGCTAGGACAAAGAGGGAGAATCACTAAGATAAAGGAGAAGAAGCACTAGGATGAAGGGGGAGAAGCACTAGGATGAAGGGGGAGAAGCACTAGGATGAAGGGGGAGAAGCACCAGGGTAAAAGAGGAGAAGCACTAGGATGAAGGAGGAGAAGCACTAGGATGAAGGAGGAGAAGCACCAGGGTAAAAGAGGAGAAGCACTAGGATGAAGGGGGAGAAGCACCAGGGTAAAAGAGGAGAAGCACTAGGATGAAGGGGGAGAAGCACCAGGATAAAGGAGTAGAAGCACTAGGATGAAGGGGGAGAAGCACCAGGGTAAAAGTGGAGAAGCACTAGGATGAAGGGGGAGAAGCACCAGGGTAAAAGAGTAGAAGCACTAGGATGAAGGGGGAGAAGCACCAGGGTAAAAGTGGAGAAGCACTAGGATGAAGGAGGAGAAGCACTAGGATGAAGGAGTGGTGCATCAATGTGAAGCACAGAGAGCATAGGGCATGGTATACAATGTGGGAAACAACAGTGAGCAGCTAGATCACAGGAGGGGGAGCACTAGGATGATGTAAGGGAGCACAAGGGCAATGGAGAAGAAGCACTGGGGCGAAGGAGGAGGAGCACTAGGGTACCTGGCGGGAGTAGTAGTACAAAGGAGGAGAGGCACTATGGCAAATAAGGAGGAACACTGAAGACCTCTGTGATGGTTTAGGAGGGGAGGATATTTTCCAGCAAGCAGCTCATCTTCCTGCCCAAAAAAAGGAACCTCTGACAGAGAGCCTGCGTTGGCGAAGGCTACGTGGTGATTATTTGCACACGGGGCGATTATCGGAACCCTCACCTCTGCTCGTGAGGAAAACTTGGACTACATGAGCGAAACAATCCGACGCAATTCAGCTGCCAAATGATTGTTTACAATAAAGCGCTCCGGAGTCAAGTAGGTCACATTTTGTCACGCCGCGTCCTCTGGCGGGTCGGTCACCTTGTTATTTGGGTTACGGTCAGGAAATCAGAGACTGACGTTTTCCAAACCACGTAGAAGGTTTTTGGCATCTCGGCTGTTTTCTCCTCCGCGCTCTGCAGGAAACGCTTTCTTGTGTGGCGCAGATGCCAAAGAATTAAAGTGGAACTTGTTGCAGTGACAAATGGCACATGTGATTTACAGCTGGAGACATGAACTTAAATGGAGTGTAACAGATCGCCTCTGCAAGGGGAATCCTTTAATACCGGACTCCGAGGAGACATCTAAATACATGTCTGGCAGGGGAGGAGACCTGATCTTTCTCTATGGCAGGTTCCCTTTCACTCAGGGCCGGATTTCCCACAAGGCCGACCAAGGCCCGGCCTTGGGCCAGCAGGGAGTAGAGGGGCAGCAGGGGTGTGGAATTCCTATCCCCTGACGCCCGGGACATGCCGTTCTGGGCGCCGGGCGGGTAGTTGTTTTCTACATTTAGCCCTGCCTTGGGCAAGCAGGGCTAAATGTACAGCAGGGAAGCCACCGCTTGTTTCGTACAGGAGATCTCGGCAATGTCGCCGAGATCACTTGTATGCACTCTGCAGGTCTCCCATTCTCCATGTTGGGGGGGTGGGTGTGTTTGGTGGGTAGGGGGGCGCATTGAAGAACCTGGCCTTGGGGGAAGCAGAGAGAGTAAATCCGACCCTGCTTTCACTGAGAGGTCCCCTCCCCATACGTACTCTATGACCGGACAGTGAAAGAAGAAGCAGCTCATCTCTCTGTCACTCTGCTCCCTCCTCCTGACAGTATGCCTCCTTCAGCATGCCAGTATGCATCGCAGCAAACCTGACTATCTCCTTGTACTGCTTCTCCCTCTCCCATTCTGACCTCTGCTGTACAGTAGCCAGGCCTGCAGGAGGGAGATTCCAAGTACATTGCTTATTAAAAAATTATACTGAGTCATCTATCAATGACTACTGAGCTGCAATAATTTGTGCCTGGAGTTCCGCTTGAACTCTTTCTGGCTGAGCCTAGGCCTATTTCCTATCACTTCCTTGTGGGGCCACTTGGACAGGAAATGAAGGCAAATGTCCCCTGTGGGGACCAAGACGTCAATAGAAAGCCGTTTCCAGTGCTCCGTCCACGTCGTGGCTGAGGTTCTGATTTAAAGCACTGATCTGTGGAGGTTGGACTGTCAGAATCTGCAGATGTATTATTTCCTGTAAAATTAATGTGTATATATTGCAGATCGCAAAGTAAAATCAAGATGTAAATATTGCTGGAGAAATATCAAGAGATTCTAATGACAAAAACATTAAATATTTTGGACTAACGCGTTCACTCTTTTCTGTACCTCTGAGATGCCGGTCGATGGATCCCTAGTTGGCCGGTGGTGGTTTCACTTTATATGTTAAATGTGAGATCTTCTTCTTATCCTTTGTGTGCTACGGGGTATAGAAATCCAAGATCGGTAATGTCATATTTTTCTATGCACAGTTGGCAGTTGTAGATGGTATCCACCCCTGTGCACTAAAAGCATTAAGTTAAATAATTCACTGTATGTCAATTCCTTAGACTCTGTTTCAGTTGGGACTGTCCCAGGCGTAGAGCAAAGCTCTTTATAAATTGGCGGCCTATCCTCAGTACCACTGCACCACGACATAAAACGAGCCGTGAAATTGGCCAGAGCGGCGCTGCGCATGGGTTACGGCTTGGACAATCGCAGGCGTACAGCAGATGCTTAAACAACATTATGCTTAAACAACATTACATTTGATAAAGCACCAAAACCAGATGGTATCCAACCCTGTGTCCTAAAAGCATTAAAGGAGAACTATGAGGTGAGTGATTTTCACTCAGCCTCATAGTTCTAGCCGACCTGTGACAATGAGACTGTCACATGTCGGTTCAGTAGATCGGGAAGTGAGCGAACACATACCGGCGCTCGCTCACTTCTCGATCCTGTGCCGGCAAAGAGCCGTGACAGGGGTGGGACTGGATTCCCCCCTCCCCGCTCCGATCCTCCAGCGCTGACAGCTGGCTCTGCCTCTAGATAGGCAGAGCCAGCTGTCACTCACGCAGCTGGGCGGATCCAGACATAATTGTCGGGATCCGTTTCAGCTGCGGCGTCTCATTATACCGCGAGCCGTAGCTCGCGGTATACTGAGCTTAGGGTGACGGGAGGACGCTAGCTCTTTATAAATTGGCGGTCTTTCCTCACAACGGCTGCACCATGACAAAAAACGAGCCAGAGAGAAATTGGCCAGAGTGGCGCTGTGGATGGGTGATGGCTTGGACAGTGTCAGACATACAGCAGATGCTGTAACATTATTGAAGAATAGGTTAAGTTATGCCTTAACAACATTACATTTGATAAAAGCACCTAAACCAGATGGTATCCACCCCTGTGTACTAAAAGCATTAAGATAATTAATTCACTATATTTCAATTCCTTAGACTCTGTTTCAGCTGGGACTGTCCCAGGCGTAGAGCAAAGCTCTTTATAAATTGGCGGTCTATCCTCAGTACCACTGCACCACGACATTAAACGAGCCGTGAAATTGGCCAGAGTGGCGCTGTGCCTAGTTGA